TTTTTGTTTTTAAAAGACATTTCTTTATTGTTTTTAACCAATTCTAAAGATGTAGTACATTTGACTTTTTTGTTACTTTACTTATTATTGGTAACAAATCTTTTGAAGTAATACCAGTATAATACTGTCAACTTGTCATAATGTGAAAGCCATTTGCTGGTGAATCATAATTATAATCAAATATATTAGTATTAGGCTTATTGTACTTTTAAGCACAACATTTTTTATTCTATCCCATGAAGTTTCTCCCAGCCAAAGAGTATATAATAGTAATTCAACCACTTTAGTCCAACATATTCATTGTCAGTGACAAGTTTCTCCCAGTACCAAAGCACACAAGCTGGCTGGAATACAAAGAACATGGTAAGTGTCTGTTGTATCCTGGCCAGTCTGATGGTCTTCAGTTATTGAGAGAAATTCTTTGTTGGCAATGGCTATAATGGGTGTAGTGCCTACATTTGTCAATAAACTCCTGTATGTTAGTATACTGATACAAAGTTGATTGTATCCACATAGGTTTAAAAACTTCACACTTTGTAGTTGAGTTAGCTGAAGGAATTAGTTTATTGTGGGATGGTATGAACTGAGTGTATTCACATTTATTTAAAAATTTTACATTTTGTAGGTTGAGTTAGCTACTGGAATGAGTTTACTGTGGGATGGTAAAAACCGAGTGTATATTGATGCACCATCATCTCACTTCAATAAAGTGAAAGGACTGTGTGGAACTTTTAATCATAATCAAAAAGACGATTTTCTTACTCTGGAAGGAGACATTGAAGCTGATGTTAATACATTTGCCAAGAAATGGACTTTGGGAGTATGCAAGGAACAAATTCCTGCAGATGAAGCTAAGAGACCATGTGATACCTATCCACAGAAGAATGAGGAAGCACAGAAATTTTGCTTAAAACTAAAGAGTAATTATTTTAGAGGTGAGTATAAAATATCATAAGCAGAATAGATTTTCATTTCAAATTTGTTAATTGATTACATTATGAATTTCTTCTCAGTTTTTTTAAGTACAGTTTGCTTCATTAACTTACGTCAGTTGTTTGTCATGATTGATGGAATTTGCTTACTTTTGATTAGAAGTTCTTAATATTTTGATAAGCATATAAATTACTATTAATAGAATTTCTATTTAAACTTTCAGGTAGGTTTAGTGTGCATGTCACAACCTCTTTCAGAGTTACATTCAAAATTTAATTAAACGACTTTATTATCAATAAACTTGACCTCAAGATGTAGTTAATAGACTAAATGTTAATATTATATATGTTTTAAGCTTTTAATTTTATAAGGAAATATTTCAGAAAATCTTCAATCTCCTCTAGTATGAGAACTGTGACATTTACTCTCAAGTCTTCCCTTTTGCTCTAATTATTTACTACCTCTCTAAGAAGTATGGAATTTAATACAAATTATGTATTATAATACACATATTACTCAGGCAAAGCTTAATTTGTATAGCCTTCATTCTTATTTGTTTATGGAGCTATAGACTAGAAAATCAGACCCACCTGTCACATCCTCTCTTTTATGAATTGCCAGTAGTTTTTCACTGATGTTTTATACTATATTGTTTATAACTAATAAAAAGCCAAAGTTTAATCCATCAAATAACATATTATGTTGTTTTCTTTACAGGGCATTTTAAATTTTGTCATTCATTTTCAAATTTGTTCTCACAGAAATTACATTGACAAGCTTAGCTGAATTTTTAAAGGCTCTTGTTGCATAATTAGAAAGCCAGAAAAATTATGATGGTCATAGAACATTGTTAGTATTTTGTGTTCTTAGGTGCATTATTTAATTAAATAAAAATTATTTAGTCCAGTAGTACCATTAGTATAAAAAAGTAGGGTGAGGTTTTGTCAACAAAAATAAATAAGGAGACCAAGGTAAATACTATATTTTTTGTTTTTTGTGTTTTATTTATTTATTGTTATAAAAGTAACTAAAATTAGAAACTTATTAGGTTAGATAACATTATATTTGGTACGATAATGGAAAATATAATAAAAATTTCTCGCAAAGTATCCTTTCAAGTAGCTCATGTGCCACGTAATTTATTACATTAATGAGAGCTGCACATTCACCTTCACAGAGTTATTTACAAGTTGTGTGGCAGGATTATTAGTTAGACACCATTCATAGGTCAATAAAATTAAATATAGATATACTGTTATGAGCTTTAAGTTATTTAGGATAAATAAATGTAGTTCCTTGTTACAATTTACAGTAATTTTAGAAAAAAAAATTATTTCCTAATTTTATATAGTGGTTATGAGGTTGTCAAATTGACAAACTCCTCCTTGTATAGAGTTATCATAAAGAAAATAACAAATAAAATATAAAGTTTTTATGAAATAAAAAACTTGATATTTATTTAGGATGTTTTAAGAGATTGCACAAATGAAACTTGAAAATATACAGATAAAGAAAAGTATTTTTTATTCTTAATATGAAAATCACTTTGCACTTGGAGCAGTTAACAATCTAAATATATATTTAGTAAAAATACTTATTTAAAATTCTGGTTTTTTGTCTACAAAAGACTTGTAGTGTTTACTGAAAGCTTGCCAAAGTTTGTGAAGCTACATTAAGTATTGTACATACACCTTCATGGTTACGAAGTCGTGTAAAATACGCAAACCCATTGCAAAAGGGCTAATGATAGTCATATAATCAAGTGATATCTTGAGAGAGATTAATTTTTTAATGTGATTACATTTTGAAGTTGTTCTTAAGCAAGTTATTGTCATAAACAAAATCACCAAGAAACTTAAAATAATGATAGGTTCAATTCTTTGTGTTAAAGTAGAAGTCAAATAAATGGAATGAAAATGCTTTACATATTTTAATTTTCCGAGAAATGTGTAGCAGTGTTTATCATAGGAAATTGATTTTTACTCCAGTAAAACCACTGATACCCTAGACTACTGAAATATTTATCAGTGGTTTTACTGAGGTAAAATTCCCTAGACTACTAAAATATTTATTATAGGAAATTAGTTTTGACCTCAATTAAACTTTTGAAAACCTAGACAACTGGACATTTTATCATTAGAAAGTTAGTTTGACATCCTAAAAAACTTTTGGGAACTTATATTACTGCATTTTTGATTATAGAAAATTAGTTTTGACCTCAGTAAAATCTTTTACAACTCAGACTAGTGTTAATCTTATCCACCAAATTACATTTTTGTCATCATTTTATTTTTTATTCAAATATTTAAAATATAAATGTTTAAATTTCAAAATATTTCGTACAATTTTTTTTTAATTTGTGGAAAACCATTTTTATATTTTATAGTTTTTGTTTGATCTCTCTTCAGCTGGTCATGATGTTGTTGACCCAGAACCATTCTACAAAAAATGCCTTTTTGATATGTGTTCGTGTGAGAGCAAGCCTGAAGATTGCCTCTGTCCTGCTTTTGCTGATTATGGTGCTGAATGTGCCAAAAAAGGGGTGCTTATTAAATGGAGAGATAACATCAAAGAATGCTGTAAGTTGGGATGAGTTCTAGGTTGTGTGAAAGTCATGAAGAAATATGATATTGGTAAAATTATTAAAAAGTTCTAAGAATCAAATAATAGCAAGTCTCCATATATTTCATATAATTTATAGTGCAGCATATGTTTTTACTTTCCTTAAACTTTTACATAGATAAATCAATTTATCCACAAAATTCTAACTTCTGTAGCGTGTTGATTATAGTTGCATAAATTGAAACTGATTTAAGGAGATTGCTTCCAACAGTATTTATGCAAGATCTGTTTGCTAAATGTGAAATTTGTGCCTAAACTATATAGAAAACCTTTTGTAAAAAAAGTCCATATTGAAAAAATTACATGAGTAAGAATAAACTTGGCACATTGTCCAAGTATTAATCTGTTTACTGTCATTGTATTTACTTGACTGTTAACAGTTAGCAACAGTAGATGAAGGTTAGTACAGGAGACAGATATGCACATACTTGATCACAGAATAAACATTTATTTAGCATCTCAAATATCATATTTTGAGTGACTGTACCATTTACTGATGATCCAGTGTGTTGTTTATATACATTTATGTATATGTTTTTAAGTTGTGTGTTGCTAAAATAATATCAAAGTTATTAGACAGTTGATCTTTATTTATACATGAATTTTTGATACAGTCTTTAAGTGTTTTTAATTCTGTAAAAAATTGATTAGGCCAAAAGTACTGAATTGAGTGACATTATTTTTTTAAATACTCTGAAAAAGATCTTTACTGAGGTTTTTGTTAATTTATCAGCTTTGAAGTGCACTGGTGGTCAGACTTATCAAGAGTGTGCTGATCCTTGCCAACGCTCTTGCCTTACCATTGCTTCTAATGTTAAATGCCTGAAGAAGTGTGTTGAAGGCTGTGCATGTCCTCCTGGAACAACCTTGAATAATGATGAAATGTGTATTCCAGTCAGTGAATGTCAGTGTGTATTTGAAGGGAAAGAATATCTTCCAAACTCAAAGAGGCTAGATGGCTCAGATGTGTGGTAAGTACTTTTGGGTTGACTCCAAATTCCAAGAAATGAGATTGGTAAAATTTTTTGTTGTAATTATTTGTGGGTTAACTTCACACTTCAAGAGGCTGGATGTTTCAGATTTATGGTAAATACATTTGTGCTGACTCCAAATCCAAATGTTAGATGGCTTAGATGTATGCACTTTTTGGGTTGACTCTAATTCCAAGACAATAGATGGCTAAGATTTATGGTAAGCTTTGGGGTTGACTTTAAAGTCCAAGAGGCTATGTGGCTCAGATGTTGGGAAAGTTTTGTGGATTGATTTCAACTCCAAGATGCTAGATGACTCAGAAGTATAATAAGTACTTGTTCTTTGACTTCTCAACTGTATTAATGATTTGATGAATTTTAAGGATATGCAAAAAATGTAAAGGATGATGAGAATATTTATTATATTACTTGTGGTTGTTAGATCTTGTATTTCATTAAAATATAATATTATATCTCTATAAACATAAATGATATCACTACCTATATCTCCAGAATGTATCTTTAATAATTCAACATTTCACCTTTGCAGCTATCGATAGTTCCTGATGAAGCTGTGAAATATTGAGCTGTTAGAGAGACATTCTGGAGATATAGGATGTGATTTCATTTAAGTTTATTGAAATGTCTCATAATAAACTAGTTTCCATTAAACAAAATTAAGAATAATGATTTCTTCTTTGGCATCAATCTGCTTCATCATAATACAAGTATTATAGGATATCGATAGTTCCTGACAAAAGTGTAAATGAGAAATGTTGACCTATTAAGATTACATTTTGGAGTCATAGGTCACTATTTTATTTATGTTTATAGAAATTTCTCGTAATAAACTCCAGTTTGCATTAAACAAAGTTAAGAATATATTACTACATTTATTTTTATAAAACTCAGAAACCAGCTTTGCTACCTGTTAGCAGTGGTTTGTATCTTGAAAAGTAGTTTTTTTTGTAAGTTACTTTAATCATGATTAACAATAGTATAACAATCCAATTTTTTAAAGAAAAAAATCACTGTTTGTCATTTGATATGTTCAGAATTTAAATATAACTCAGTCTTAATGTCTGACAATAGTATATTGTAGGACTTCCACTAACAATATGTTTGGCTAACTGAACTATAAATTTTCAGGTTTACTTCTAATGCATGCATATGTTACATTTTGCATATTTATCTATCTATCTATATATGTGTATGTATGTATGTATGTATGTATGTGTGTGTGTGTTATATATATATATATATATTCAAAAATTATATAAAGTTAATCTTTAAGGGAATCAGTAAGTCCTTTGTATGTGCATATTTAGAATTACAGGAAATCTGAAACATCCATGATATTAATTATAAAAGTTTTAGTTTCAGAAAGATGAATAATAAATATGGTTGTTTAAGTATTAATTTTGAAAACTTTTTAAACAGTGTTTTCTTTACTTTTCAGTTTATGTGAAAATGCTGTTTGGAGCTGTCGGGCAGCATCATTGAAGGAACTTGTTTCTGTAACTAACCCTGATGATCTTATGCAAAGAGATCCAGAATACTGTGGGAAGCAGCCAAATATGGAATACACCAATTGTGTACCTGTTTGTCCTCCAACATGCCAAAATAAATTGGTTGAACAAGAGTGTGCTACACGTATCTGTAAACCTGGGTGCATGTATGTTGTTTTGTTTCACTGTTGGAGTATATTTATGTTGAAGTTATTTTGTGGTTGATAACTTATTCTTTACTTACCTAATTGTTGGGAATAACATATACCTAACATTTGTTTTGTATTTTGTTCAATTATAAATTATTTGAAAATGTGATTTTGTTAAAACAACATTCTAGTTGAAAGTAGTGTTTTTAATGGGTATACGTTTATCTATTATGAAAAGTACCAACCTCAGATTGATAATTTGAACATTTTGTAAAGCAATGTTTTTGAAGGTTGTTGCTTGTTATTTTATGTTTAAGTAGGTTGTGAATTTGAATCTTGTGTAAAGGTTTGTTTCCATGAAGGTTGTTGTTTGTTATATTTGGACAAGTAGTGAATTTGAACTTTGTGTAAAGGTTTGTTTCTTTGAAAACTGTTTTTATGTTTAAGAAGGTTATGAAATGGGTCCTTGTGTAAAGATTTATATCATTGTTTGTTGTTTTATTCTTAGATTCTTAGTTTATTGAAATTCTTTGTTTGTTGTTTCATTCTTAGATTTTTAGTTTATGGAAATTCTTTGTTTGTTGTTTTATTCTTAGATTTTTAGTTTATGGAAATTCTTTGTTTGTTGTTTTATTCTTAGTTTATTAAAAGTCATTTTTGTTGTTTTATTCTTAGATTCTCAGTTTATTGAAATTCTTTGTTTGTTGTTTTATTCTTAGATTCTCAGTTTATTGAAATTCTTTGTTTGTTGTTTTATTCTTAGATTCTTGGTGTATTGAAAGTCATTGTTTGTTGTTTTATTCTTAGATTCTTAGTTTATTGAATGTCATTGTTTGTTGTTTTATTCTTAGATTCTTAGTGTATTGAAAGTCATTGCTGGTTAATTCTTAGATTCTTGGTGTATTGAAAGTCATTGTTGTTTAATTCTTAGATTCTTGGTGTATTGAAAGCCATTGTTTATTGTTTTGTTCCTAGATTCTTAGTTTATTGAAAGTCATTGTTTGTTGTTTTATTCTTAGATTCTTGGTGTATTGAAAGTCATTGTTTGTTGTTTTATTCTTAGATTTTTAGTTTATTGAATGTCATTGTTTGTTGTTTTATTCTTAGATTCTTGGTGTATTGAAAGTCATTGCTGGTTAATTCTTAGATTCTTGGTGTATTGAAAGTCATTGTTGTTTAATTCTTAGATTCTTGGTGTATTGAAAGTCATTGTTTATTGTTTTGTTCCTAGATTCTTAGTTTATTGAAAGTCATTGTTTGTTGTTTTATTTTTAGATTCTTAGTTTATTGAAAGTCATTGTTTGTTGTTTTATTTTTAGATTCTTAGTTTATTGAAAGTCATTGTTTGTTGTTTTATTTTTAGATTCTTTGTTTCCTGTTGTAAAGCTTACTTTCTTATTGTTGATTTTTTTATTTTTGAATAATCTGTAGATGCATTTATGTTGTCTATATGAATTTTGTATTTTAAATTGAGCTTCAGTTTATTTTAACTGTATCAGATTAATTTATATGATTAAAAACATCAATTGTTAGGGAATTTGTTGTAAGTTGACTATGCACTTCCACCAGTACTAGATTTTGATAATATTTTATTATTTTATTCTATTGATTTAGGGCAACCATTACAATTGAAATTTTTACTTTAATAACCTTGTAAACAATGTGCTTTATATTTGTATATCAGTAAATAAATTCTTAGGGATGGATGTAGCCTAGTGACTAGCACGTGTTGGTGTGCAAATCAAAGGGTCAGGAGTTTGAGATGTTCCACCACTGAATGTGATCCACACTTTCAGAACTGAAATATAATAAAAGTCATAGTCAACCCATGTCATGCCATTGATCTCATGTAAAACTGACAGTCAACTCATGTCATGCCATTCTTCTTATGTAAAACTGACAGTCAACTCATGTCATGCCATTCTTCTTATGTAAAACTGACAGTCAACTTGACTGTCAGTTTTACATAAGAAGAATGGCATGACATGACTCATGTCATGCCATTCTTCTTATGTAAAACTGACAGTCAATCCATGTCATGCCATTCATCTTATATAAAACATGTAAACTAAGAAAATGAGACTTTTGTACCATTTTCTCTGTTAGCAGCTGAGTAAACTTTTATCATGAAATGACTTGTTTATTGACTTATTCTAAGTCAACCAGACATGATTGGAGGGGGGGGGGGGCTACCCTGTGGCTTTATATAGTTACTCGAAAACCTCATGAATATGAACTTGTTTGTATTAAAGCAGTTCTTCCAGATTAGGGAGACATCAAGACAATTGAATCAGTAACTTTGATTATGAATGAACATTCTATTCATAGCATGCTTTATTCAATGATAAACTTAAAGGTACAAACAAGGTTTGTATGCTTTTATAATTTTTTAATGTGTTTTCACAGCATATAAATTAAGCTGGCTAAACATTGGGAGATATTATGGCAGTTAATGGTTTGGTTCTGATCATTACGTCCTCCACCTGCTTTATGTAGTACTATGACCTACTCTAGTGGTACATATCTATTACTCCAGATCTGTAAGGAATATATTTCATTCTAGCTGCAAGCCGGGGTTTGTTTTGGACATGGATACCAAACAGTGTGTTAAAATAGCTCAGTGTGGCTGTCATCATGGAAATAAAAGATTTGTTGAAGGCGAGACAATACAAATGGAGTGCAACACCTGGTTAGCTTTTCACTTTTTTATACTCTATGTTATTAAGTAAAATACTTATAATGCAAACTTTAGTTTTAAAGTCTTATTAGTCTGTTAATTTTATCCAATGTGAAATATTTTATAAATCAGTTAAACCAGGATACAGTAATCTATTAGAAAAGAAATATCAAATAATCTAGGTAGTGAAGTTCAAATTAAACTTGAAATATTGTAATGTTTATTTTAATTTTTAAGAGGAAGGTTGTGTATTTACTTCTACACAACCACAAGTTCAGAAGGTTGTGTATTTACTTCTACACAACCACAAGTTCAGAAGGTTGTGTATTTACTTCTACACAACCACAAGTTCAGAAGGTTGTGTATTTACTTCTACACAACCACAAGTTCAGAAGGTTGTGTATTTACTTCTACACAACCACAAGTTCAGAAGGTTGTGTATTTACTT